TTATAAAATTCTTATTTTCAAAGTCTCGATTTAGTTATGCCGTATTGCTAATAAAACGATAAGAAGGTGTAAAATACAAACAGACTCTAACATCATCTCCTCCGAAAATTAATAAAAATTCAATTGGATGCTGAGTAACAAATGCATCAACGACAGTAGTAGCAACAACAACAAAAACATGTGAGGCATTCATGTGTCAACCAACATTTAACAAAGTCATATTCAATTAACAGTGTTATGCAAAAACAAAACGAAAACAAAGTAAAACTGGGCATTTGTTTATTATTCTTGTTGTTGCTGCCGCTTTTTTTATTTTATACGAACAAGATATCAGTCAGTGTGTCAATCTGTATATCAAAACCCTATGGCAAATGTAACTACATATACAGTGGTGGTCACAGAATTAAAACATTTACTGTGGTAAACATTTTTTGATCAGCCCTCGATTCGTTTGAAGTATTTTTGAAAATTTTTTAATTCAGAACACTTCGATATACTGCCCCTAAGAGATTTTGTGTGAAAATGGAAAATTAATGCATGCAATTTTTCCATAAATAACGGGTTTTATGAAAATACATCGACTTTGAAGTGGCCATATAATTAAAACATTGTGTGATTTTTTACTTTACTACATTTTTTGAAAATATTTTTAAAAAAGCTCTTTAATTTAGTTAAATTATGTAAACTATGCACCGATAAAATCATTTACTGACAAAATTTTTTGAAAAAATCTGTAAAATCTATCTAAAATTGCCAAAAATCTGTACAGTATACCTTACATTCAGAAAATAACCCTTATTATAGAAAATAAAGTTCCGAATGCACCAGAAATTGCTAGAATTAGTAGAAAACTATATACTATTCTAAGAATAAATAAATATTTGAAATAAAAACTGAAAAAATGGGAATTAAGCTAAAAGAACGACTCAATTTCGATAGCCTTTATTGAAGAAGGCCGGAATATTCTTGCAGTATGTGAGGAAATATCGATTGATATTGGCATTTATTATATCAAATCGATTGTTCGAGTAGTACAGAATATATTTTATCAAAAAATATATCAGTCACAACAGAAAGAACAGAGATCATCGCCTATGTTGACGAGTAAAAGTTTCTGCCACACAGCAGCATTTTTGATGCTCAACACAAGACTTTTAATATTTGTCAAATTGTAAATTGTTTCTTTCTTTTAGGCTAAAATAGATTAAATGGACATTATTCTATTCAAAAAATATTATTTTGGAAAAATATTGTTATGTTCAATAGATTTTAAGGGTCAAGAGTTAACCATCAAACATGCTGCTGTGTACCAGAATCGTTTTCTCGTCAACATAGGCGATGATCTCTGTTCTTTCTGTTGTGACTGATATATTTTTTGATAAAATATATTCTGTACTACTCGAACAATCGATTTGATATAATAAATGCCAATATCAATCGATATTTCCTCACATACTGCAAGAATATTCCGGCCTTCTTCAATAAAGGCTATCGAAATTGAGTCGTTCTTTTAGCTTAATTCCCATTTTTTCAGTTTTTATTTCAAATTTTTATTTATTCTTAGAATAGTATATAGTTTTCTACTAATTCTAGCAATTTCTGGTGCATTCGGAACTTTATTTTCTATAATAAGGGTTATTTTCTGAATGTAAGGTATACTGTACAGATTTTTGGCAATTTTAGATAGATTTTACAGATTTTTTCAAAAATTTTTATCAGTAAATGACTTTATCGGTGCTTAGTTTACATATTTTAACTAAATTAAAGAGCTTTTTCAAAAATATTTTCAAAAAATGCAGTAAAGTATAAAAACACACAGTGTTTTAATTATATGGCCACTTAAAAGTCGATGTATTTTCATAAAAACCGTTATTTATGGAAAAATTGCATGCAATAATTTTCCATTTTCACACAAAATCTCTTAGGGGCAGTATATCGAAGTGTTCTGAATTAAAAAATTTTCAAAAATACTTCAAACGAATCAAGGGCTGATCAAAAAATGTTTACCACAGTAAATGTTTTAATTCTGTGACCACCACTGTATATGTAGCTAGCTACATATGTCTGTATGAATATCTACAAATTGTATGTGAATCACATGTGCACACACACACATAGAACCAAAATAAATAAATCCTTTTTACCACCTTTGTGTGTAATATCACATCACATCGTTCGTTCTCTCGCTCGCTCTCTCACTTTGACAAGACTTTGTGATGACTTTTGGACAGCTTGATGAACTGAATATTTTGTCTTTGTTGTTGTTGCTTTTGTTTTTGAATCATTTGTGCCAGATTTAGTGACGAAACTGATGTATCTAAACTCTGAATAGCAGAATCACATAAATGATATACAGAATTAATAAAAAAAACATTGCATATCAATTTAGATTGTAAAATATAGTCATCTTTGGAGATTCTCTTTAAAGGTGATATATGGGTATCTATCAGCATTGAATGACGTGTAGATTACAATTAAATGATTTTAGGATGCAATACAAAGAATTTAAATGTGTATAAATCGGTGTAATTTTTTATGACAAAGAAATTATATTCGTAGCCAAAAAAAAAAGTCTTTTAAGAATAATATTTTCGGATGTGGGACCATGTAGATTATAGAATGTGTTGATAGCCTCTGACAAAGTCAAAGTCTGTCGTTGGTCTGTTGTGTTCATCCTGATGTGTATTATAAAAATAGATAGAAGATAGTACCTACTTACTTAGCTGGCTTGTTACAGAACGGTTGTTCCATAAGCCGAGCTTATAAAAGCGCGTCGGTCTTGTAAGCATTTCCTCCAATTTGAAAGACCACGTTCCAAGATGTTGTTTTCTACTTGGTCTTTCCAGATTATTCGTGGCCTTCCCCACCATCAGCTGGTTCGCTTTTATAAGGCTTTTGGGCTGGGGCATCTTCATCCATTCTCACAACATGACCTAGCCAATGTAGCTCAATGCGTCTAACAAAGCCGTTGTCCGAGAATAGCTGGTACAACTCATGGTTCAATCGACGGCGATATTCACCGTCAACGCAGAACGGCCCAAAGATCTTTCGGAAAAATGTCTCTCAAACACTCCAAGAGCAGCCTCATCTGCTTGCGCAAGTACCCATGCTTCAGATCCATATAAAAGCACGGGTAGTATCAGCGTCTTGTAAAGTGTTGGTTTGGTCTGGCGGGAGATGGCCTTATTTCTAAACTGCTTACTTAGACCATAGTAGCATCTATGGGCCAATACTATTTTTCTCCGAATTTCAAGGTATATAAAATCTTTGACTACCTCGAAGATGTAGTTCTAAAGTTCCACAGTTAGTCCAAGTCTACTGGACGTTTTGCGCGCTAATACCATCAGCTTGGTCTTCTCGTCGTTTACTGCTAGATCCACTTTGGCAGACACCTTCTCAATTTGTTCAAAGGAGGCTTTTACCGTCGATCATTGAGAGTAACATGTGTTGTTTGGTGTACAGAGTGTCATTTCTGTTCACATTTGCCTCTCGTATGACCTTTTCCAGCAGGATGTTAAAAAGGTCACAGGACAAACTGTTACCTTGTCTGAATCCTCGTTCGGTATTAAAGGACTACGAGAGGTCCTTTCCGACTTTAACTGCTGATATTGTGCCAGTTAAAGTTATCCTGCATAGTCGAATTAATTTGGCAGGAATGCCAAACGCAGACATGGCTATAAACACCTCTGAACGGATATGGCTGTCGAATGCGGCTTTATAGCCGACAAATAGGTGGAATGTGTCGATGTGTTTTTCCAGGATTTGGTCAATGGTAGATTTGCCAGGTCTGAAGCCGCATTGTTATGGTCCAATAATGTCATTGATCATTGCCTTCAGTCATTCACACAGCACGCTGGATAGCAGTTTATATGCGATGGGAAGGAGACTTATTCCTCTATAGTTGGCACATATTGTCTTGTCTCCTTTTTTGTGCACGGGACACAGGATGCTGAGGCATGCATTCCTCTAGCCAAATTGTACTAATCAGCTGGTGCATGCTCCTGACCAGCATCTGACCACCAGTCTTGAATAGTTCGGCTTGTAACCGATCGGTATCTGCTGCTTTATTATTCTTCAGCCGATTGTCATCTATTATTGTTTCTGGGGTTTCCTCTTCACCGCTAATATTTGATACCAGAAGTTTTTCAAAATGCTCCTTCCAAATCCTCAGCACACTGTCTGTATCTGTCACCAGGGTTTCTTCTACCCGTTGGTAAAATTTCCGAACTTCATTCTGACTCCTGTATATCTCGATTTGCTCACGCTTACGTTTTTCTTCGTTTTTACACCGTGCTTTGATTTTATACAGTAGGTTTCCCTTACTCTCGTTTTGATAGAGGACCGGCAGAGGAACACTGTACGCAAGATAAAAAATCGCTCGACCGGAAATTCTCTACAGGCCTTGAGAGGATTAATCTTTAGTACTTCCATTTACCATTAGGTGATTCTTGATCCCGCTGAATTTTTTTCGCATATCGTTTTAGAGTCCTTATCTATGCATCAGTTGGCCGTAGCAAATTGTCCTCCGATATGCCTTCCTATCCATGACCTATTGGCTTTGGCAATTTTAGGTGCATGTGTCGAGAGCGAGGAGTCCAAATTGTCCTTGGAACATCCATTCGTGGCTCATTAAGCACAAATTGTCCCTAAGCACAGCTTGTCTCCGCCTTGGAAGAGCCCACAACACCAACAGACATACTTGACAGGCCCTGGTGATTAGAGGGTAGAGTGACGATGACGGTTACATCAGCACCCTCCTCCTCTCTCCTCTTCGAGCGTCATTTGGGTGCCGGTGTGGATAAAGTGGGATTCAGTCTGTCGTATCTAATTTATCATGTATTTTATTTAAAAATAACTCGATTGTCTTTGAAGTATTAGGTTGTGTAAAACATAGTAAAAATTTTTATATATAAAAATTATAAATATTACAAAAAAAAAAATGGATTTAATTCATTTTTTCTATTATAAAAATAATTTAAATATTTTTTTATATTTTATAGGGTGCCGAACTAAGTAAACCAATCGATAGAAAATTCTATAAAGGAACCAATCCTAGCTGTCATGATTTTAATGCCACCACAGCAACACCTACTGGAGCTCCTTTACTGGTGGGGTTTACAACGGGACAAATACAATTGGTTTCACCACAGCCAGGACCACGTGAATATCGAAAACTTTACAATGAAGATGTAAGCAGACAATGTTTCCACCCCCATTCTAAATCTTTAAATCGTTTGTCAAACAATTCCTTTTTTATTACAGCGTCTTATTGACAAAACCAAAGTGACCTGCTTAAAATGGCTGCCAAATTCACCAAATCTCTTTTTGGCCTCACATGCGTCGGGACACCTGTATCTATACAACGAGAATCTACAATGTCCGCCGACAGCGCCCGTCTATCAACCCTTTAAAATGGGCGATGGCTATTCAATACTAACCTGCAAATCGAAATCGAGTCGGAATCCCCTCTACAAATGGGTATTCAACACCGAGAATTGTTGTATAAATGAATTCTGTTTCTCACCATGTGGTTCAAATTTAGCCATAGTATCACAAGATGGATTTCTCCGGGTATTTCATTATGATACAATGGAATTGTTGGGTATAGCACGTTCCTATTTTGGTGGTTTTTTATGTGTCTGCTGGTCACCGGATGGTAAATACATAGTGGTGGGCGGAGAAGATGACCTAGTCACAGTGTGGTCATTTCATGAACGTCGTGTAGTGGCCCGGGGTCAGGGTCATAGATCATGGGTTTCAGTGGTGGCTTTTGACCCGTACACCACGTCATATACCTCGTGGGATGGCGGAGATTTTTCGGATGATGAAAATCAAATAATGGAATATTCCACATCAGGATCACGATATGCGTCGGGTGATCAATCGGCGGTGAATGGCTATGATTCATATGGTGGATCGGCTGCGGTGGGTGGTCATGATAAGAACTCAACGCCCATACACACGCGTCAAAGGCCACAGTCGGCATCATTTCGATCGGAGGCCTCGTCACTTGCACCTGATAAATTAGCCATAAGTTATCGTTTGGGTTCTGTTAGTCAAGATACCCAAATATGTCTGTGGGACATTACCGAGGATATCCTAAGGCATCCTCTGTCCCTGCGTCAACGTGTGAATAGCTCTAATTTGAATGATTCTAGTTTTATGAATGGTGGCACAGACACCGACGGTGTGAAAGTCATACGACCAGTGGCCATAGGCCATCCCAATTTCCCCCAACCGCAACACTGTAGTAGTCCTACCAAAGATATGCAGACCAACAGCAACACACAGACGACAACACCACAAACATCTGCATCAGGAGAACAAAATAGTAATAGTAGTTCTAGTAAATTTTCCACAGCCAATTGTACGATATCATCGCAATCATCAAATGCCAATACGCCACCGGATGATAGTTCCGTGACAGCGTCCACTTCAACGAAGGCCAACTCAAAGATGAGTACAAATGCCATCAGCAGCAGCGGCGGTGGTGGTGGGACAATAAAATTTCCTAATTGTATAACTACCACGAAATCGGATTCAATTGATGGCAACATTACTGGGAATCATGTCAACACATTATCATCATCGTCGGGCTACAACAGCAAGGCATCGAACAGTAGCAAATCTTCAGATTCGGGAATATCAGCATTCAACTCGTTAACACAACGTTTATCGAATTTCTCATTTCTCAATTCATCCGATAAGAAATCACTAAATCTCGAGGGCGGCAGTACACGACAAAATCGTCGTACCTTAAGTCTACTCAAATCGTATAATCATCATAATTCCTCCACACTAAATCATCATCATGGACACAGTAATCACCAACACATGGCAAATTCAACACAAATTGAAACGAATGCAAATTCAACGTCAACATCGTCGCACAGTTTCGGTTCTCTCAAGCTGGGCAAATCGTCATCGTCGTCACACCATCACCACAATTCACTGTCACACAACATGTCAAATTGTTCGCCATCGTCGACGGCAAATTCAATTATAACATCATATGACCCACTGAAATTAATTGGTACACCAGCGTGTCCGCGTTTCGATGAGTGTCCCCTGTTGGAGCCGTTAGTGTGCAAAAAGATCGCTCACGAACGTTTGAGTGCATTAATATTTCGTGAAGATTGTTTTCTAACCGCATGTCAGGATGGATTTATTTATACATGGGCTAGGCCGGGTTATTCAACGGTAAGTTGGTGGTAGTGAATTAAGGTAAAATGATTTTTGTTCATGGAAGATCAACATAATTATGATTTTTAATAGAAAGAAATGAAAACAGGAGATTGGGAGTTAAAAAATTGTTGTTTCGAGTTAAAAATTTGTATACAATCATTTAAATATTCTAAATCGTTAAAGAATAAGTATTGTGTAGATAATTTTCATAAAAATATTTATTACTTAATTTTCATAAAAATATTTATTACCCATTCCCTGTAATGCAGAATAACTAATTTTTCCCCAAAGCGGATTTTTTTTTTTTTGATTTCGAACTTCATATAGAATAAGACGAAAGCGCAAATGCGAAAAATGTTGTTCAGAATAAGTCGAAGGGGAAGAGCGAGAAAAATCACGGGGAATTGGCATCTAGAATAAATCTGATAATTTTTAATAAGAATCTTGACCGATTTTTGGTATTTTAAAGACATTAGGCTTTGGTTCTCATTTGTATAATTTAACTATTATTTTTTTAATAGAAGGTTTATTTCATAAAAACACAAGGCTGTCTTCTGTAGAAGACCATAAAGTTTTTATATTACAATTTTATTCCTTGATAAAACATTAAAATTTCAGAAATTAAATTTTTATTGAAGACCCGAAGTCAGCCATTATAGAAAATCCGGGGGTCTTATTTTATATATGACATAAAAAAATTTTCTTATACACTTTTATTAAAAATAAATTAAATTAAATTTATTTTCTTCTCTTTCTTACAGAATGTTCCACAACATTTATCGCCAACGCAAACAGCACCGCCTGGCGGTACGGTAATATAGTTCGATAAAATTAATATAAAACAGTATCATAAGAATTTAGAGAAATTAAATCACTATACTCCAAATCCTACAATTACTACAACAACTACTACTAATACTACTTCTAATGATAGTACTCTAATCACTTCTACTACTCCCTCCTGTATAACAAAAACAACAACCGCAACAGCAACAGCAACTACTCCAATTATGGAAACATTAGCGCCAACAACCACAACAAGAACAACAAATATACTCTGTTTAACCAAAGGTGAGCAAAGAGTGTAATAAATTAAAAAAAATAATAATAATAATTAGGAGACAAACAATAGAGAATGAAATAAAAAACAGTTTTTATAAAAAACTTTTTTTATACAATTCCTTTATTTTTGATATGCAAAAACAAAATTAAACAATAACCACAAATGCATAATATGTAACAATAACAAAAAAATGCATTAAAAACAAATACAAACAGAAAACAAAACAAAAAATGTTATTTAAAATAGCCTCTACCACCTACCTATACCCCTTCTCTTTCCTACTACTAGTTTTTTGTTAAATATTTTTAAAAAAGTTAATAAAACAAAATAAATATTATCAAAACAAAAATGTTTATAGTAATATTAATATAAAAATTCCACACTGTAATAAATTAAAACGAAAAACATAATCTAAATATTTTCATAATTTTATTTTAGCAAAAAAAAGTGTATAACAATTTTTATAGCATGGACATAAAATTATTTTTAAATTGGTCCCAGAGACCAAAGTTTTTTATGCAGAATTTTGTTGAAACCTGGATTCCGAAAAATTTTAAAATAAGACAAACTGTGGTGATAGCTTTAGTTTTGTGATTATGTGCTTAATTCGAAATTATTTTTTTTTTTTTCAAAAAATTTCACAGTATTACGCATCTCTTCGTTTATTCAAAATTACAAAGATTACAAGTACTATGGTCATGACAAATTGTCATTACATTAATCTTTTAGTTCTTTTCCGTGAAAACTTTTATTCGAACGGAATTCAAAGCGATAGAATAATACGAATTTCTATAAACCTCGCGTGATCAAAATTCTAAGATTCACAAAATTGAAATATGACGCCTAAAAGAATATCATATTCAGAAAATGGTAAAAATGAACAACAGTCGAAATTGTTTATAACGACGGTCAAGGAACACTGCTGGTCGTTATAAAAGATATAAATATAGGGTATAACTTTTCTGCGGGACTTGTATAAGTTGTCATAAAAAGTTTCGTTATAAACGATTTCGACTGTATATACAATTGAACTCGGAATATAGAGGATAAAGCTGTGAAATTTTCCACAAATATTGCTACTATTCCCAGAATGTTTAGTATTGAAAATTGAATATCGATGCACTTTCCAGGGTGGCCCTCTTATAGGGGTATCCATATAGCTGTACTTCCTAAATTTTGGTTTTTTGGATACGGCTTTTTTCGATTAGCTGAAATTTGGTATCCCTACGAAAAAGTATCCATAGTAAATTATGTTTTGGGGGTAGCTCCCATATTACGGTACACTCGAATTGCCTCCAATTTGGTATTTTAGGTTCACATTAGGTGTCAAATTTTCCTAAAAACTTCTCTCTATGTAGTAATGTATTTTATTTTTACCTGTATAATATGTAAACCTTCGAGAAAATCGAATGTCTTATCTGATTCTCTATCACGGATAAAGGAGTCCGACCTAGCGTACGGTAATAGTGAGATATGAATAACAAGGGAAAGGATTATGCTAAGGAAATAACCGATTGAGGGTACCTGCATCAGTCGTTTTGTTGTTTGTGGTCTCAAAATTTCAGGCGAACTTATAGGCCATGGCGAAATTGTATCAAGAGTCTCCTAGATATCGATATGCATTAATTGCTAATCCCAAGATCTTCAACCAGGTTGGCAGCTTTCTTCATTTTTAGAACACGGTCTGAAAACAATCCCTGCATATTTGAATTTATATCGGATGTTTGACTTGACTTTTTTATTGTTAAACCTTGCTTTTTCATTATACATGCGCCAAGTTTTCATCAGGTCATCAGTAAGGACTTTGCAAATTCAAATTTTTAGTCCGACAACCTTCTCTGAACCATATTGCTCTTCTCTTATACGACTCTTATATAACAAGATAACCCTAGGTGGTCAATGGGCTCATGGTGTAAAACCTGTAGAGGTCAATATTGTACTACTTTCAATCAATGTGTTTTATCAGGTCCCTACATTAACTCCTTCAAGAATAGAGTGCTATGGAACCTTTATTTGTCCACACCTTTACCTCCCACAAGCGGAATTCACCTTTCTAACGTTTTGATTCACCCTCGTGGTGAAACATTTTAAATGTTTAGGTCAGTCATATTTTAGTTAATATGTTGTCATAGAATCAGGCAGGGTGCGTAGAATGATTAAAATACGCTCTATCTCACGAATGCTCACGGGCGAGAATTCGAATGTTTTCAACTTATCGCGAATGATACAGTTACAATGAATGAACATGCATTTGCAATCTCTCGCGAATGTTCGCATTGTACGAAAAATTCATGAACGATAAACATTTGGCTGTTAGCATCGTAGATTCGTTCTTTCGTGAGCATTTGTTGCTGAAGAACATTCTTTTGAAAAACTCAAAAAACAAATATTCGCGAATGCTCGCGAGCACTGTAAAAAAACAACAACAAACAAAAACATCATAAAAAAGTAAACACACACAAGCAACGAAAGAATGTGTGTGTAACAGAAAGTGTGTGAAATAAAAAAAACACATGTCCAACAACCATTGAGTTCACGAACGTTTGCTGTTATTGTTGTTGCTGTTTTGAGCATAAGCGGGAATTCGGGAATATTTGTTTTCATTCGTGAGGCATTATCAGAAAGAATTTCAACCACCAAAACGAAACGAACGATCGTTGTTGTGTGTTCTCACTCGTTTGTTATGCGTGTGCGAGCATTCTTTGCCGAATGCTCGTTTGGTAAAGAATTTATCGCCATAAATTCATTCGTAAAATGAGCACACAACAAAAAGAATGTATTTTGAATCATTCGCGAGCGAATTTTTGCGCACCTTACATAGAATTGATTTCATCTGGATAAAAAATGGAGAATTTGTATTCGAATTTGAGCCTTGTGATAATCTAATTGTAAAGGTATATTTATACTCTAGTTCTTGTTTAAAAACTATTATCAATGTTTTTTTTTTTCAATAAACTGAAAATAATTTAATACAAAACAATATACATCCTGTTAATGTAAATTCCAAGGGAAAGAATGAAGAGAACATTTTTGCCTGGATAAAAAGAAATTTTAAAGAGATTTAAAAAACAGGCTATCAATGTAGATTTCTTCTAAAAAATTCAATTCGAACGAAACAGGCTTTTAATACTTCTAATTAATTTGGGAAAAAACGAATTTTAACGCTCGGAGGAATTAAGGAATATAAACTTTTCAAATTAATATTTTAAAAACAAGAAAATTTCTATTGTTCTACTATTCTTGTTTTTTTTTTCTATTATTATTGTTTTTTTAGAATATTCCAGAAAATATGAAAAAATTATTATATCTTTAAAATAAATTGTTAATATTCGTAATATTCATAACTTTTCTTTAAGCCTATACAGGGGCTATAATCATAGGTCAAACGAAACGACTTTAAATTGATTTTTTTTTTTGATTTTCAATTCGCATTATTGAAGACACTCAATTTAAACCATATATACATATAAAAACATGTTATATATTGTACTAATAAAAACATAAATAAAAAATTGTTATATGTTTAAAACATGAATTTCTTTTTTTAATACAAAAAAAAAAAAAAAAAACGAATCTCAAATTTGTTAATACTTTGGAAATAATTTCAAAAATTTGTCATTGATGGTTATTATTTGCCTCTTTGTTTTGGCAATGTACCAAAGATTTGAAAGTTTTTTTTATTACACGGTTATTCTTTCAACTAAAAAATAAGCCTTTATGTTGCATAATTATATAAAAAAATAAGCTATTACTATTTTTTAACAATATTACATATTAGTTATTATTATTATTAAAAAGTACATATGTGTTATAATGTATAAAGAAAAGTAAATATTAACTTCCTAAATAATTTTGCCTTATAGTTAATTTTTCCATTTATTATTATTATTATTATTGATTAAGTTACTACATTTTAAAATAATAAAAATTTAAAAAAAAAATCAAAATAATTCTCTTCATTTTTAAACACATTGTGTTCCCACATTATTATCAAAGAAACTACATGAAAGCATTGTAAATGTTAAATAAAACCACCACAACAAACTACTACCTATTGTATTTATCTCAACTATCAACCATTCATCTCTAATTAGTAAGAAATACCCCCTGAAATACTTTTTAAATGTTAAAATGTGAATCATTCAAGTTTTGAAGCTAGTAACGTAAAGCAATACTCGTGGAAGAACAATCTTTTCCATTTTGGGAAAACAAACAAAAAAATTGACATTCTGAAAAAAAAACTAAATCCCCCATATACATTTTTTAATCTCTCCCTCTCCCATTTGTAAATTTTGTTACTTTCCCCTAATATTTTATGTGTAATTTAAGAATATTTGAACAAAAAAATAGATTACATATTTTTATTATTGTTTGTTCTCTCATAGTGAAATTGTTTACATAGTTTTTAAGTTATATTACAAAGCCGATTTAGTTTTAAATGTGTTTCATTATATGCAAAGAGTTTTTGTGGAACGTAAAAGTGTTTCTTGTTTTGAAATAATGGAGAAGAGAGTCTTTCGTTTTTGGTCTCTGTTTTTGTAAAGACCAATTGGTCTGTATAGAGACCAAAGGGGTTTTTAAAGACCTTTTATGATCTATAAAGACCTTTGGTCTCTATACAGACTAATTGGTCTTTATAAAGACCTTTGGTCTCTATACAGACCAATTGGTCTTTATAAAGACCTTTGGTCTCTATACAGACCAATTGGTCTTTATAAAGACCTTTGGTCTCTATACAGACCAATTGGTCTTTATAAAGACCTTTGGTCTCTATACAGACCAATTGGTCTTTATAAAGACCTTTGGTCTCTATACAGACCAATTG